TTCATTAGCTATTGGCTTTTAGGCATATTGTAGTTTCTTTATTTACTAATCTTCTTGACATTGTATATTTTTCTCGATGCCTTGTCTGAAATCATGATTGCAACCCCCTTTTAAAAAGAAATACTTGATGTATAGTCATTGTTGTTCTAGCCTCTTATTTTAATTTTGTATAGGTCTTTCTTTTTAAAAAATGTTTCATGTTTGCAACAAGTTGTAGGGTTTTGTTTTCATATCCCTTGTACATTGGGGAAATTCCATTTTATTGAGGAGTTAAATCCATTCATATTCAAGGTTAAAATTGTTAGATTTCTGTTTTTCTTCATTTAATTTAAGAAGTGTGAACTAGTATTAAAATTATGAAGATCTTGCTTCAAGTCCTGCCTCTGAATCATGTGTAGCTGTATGACCATGGTCAAATCACAGAGGAGTTGTCAGTATGTGTATTTATGGAAGGAGTTTTAACACTTCCTACACCAATGAAATTTGAGGTCCAAACAGTGACCTCTCAAGAAAAAAAAGCAAAACCCAATACTGTTTCATATTGATTTTCCCCTCTGTGCTTGGTTTCTTCTCTTGCCTTTGCTTATACTTATTTAATCGTAGTTTTCTCACAGGTTCTTTCATACTTCTCTTTCTTCCCATTTCCCTTTTCTGACCCAAGTTTCTTAAGTTTATTTAAATTATTATTCTCTCACTCTTCCTTATTAAATATCTTTTTACTCTTTTTTTTTTTTGGTAAATCCATCGGGGTTAAGTGACTTACCAGCTAGTGAGTGTTATGTGTCTGAGGATGGATTTGAACTCAGGTTCTCCTGACTCCAGGGCCGGTGCTGTATCTACTGCACCACCTAGCTGTCTCTACTCTTTCTTTTTTCATACCAGATAGGAGTATGATTCAGAATTCTCCTTATATATGCCATCTCCTCCTCCAATCTGTTTTCTTAACTTTGAGTAATATTTATTTATGATGTTCTTTTCTAAGAAGTATCAGTTTACTACTTCTCTTTCTTTATTTTATTCTCCTCCCAGTCTTTTCTGAAATTTTGTCTCCTGTTCATGAGTTTTGAGTTTTAGAACTAGAAGGGACTTCTGCTAATTAGTTGTTTTTTCTTTATTTTCTCTATGTGTCTCATATAAGATAGGGCTTCTATCTTTCCTCTGTCCCAGTGATCGATTAACATAATGGCAAATCATGTCTGGTCCCTCTTCATTTTTTGTTATTTAGTTTTGTTTATGTTTTGAAGAACATTTTTTTTGATGAATTTCATTCTGAGACTTAATTAATGAGGGAGGTAGTGTGGTATGATGGGAGATACCTTGGTCTCAGGGTGCGTACTTAGTCCATACCCTTCTATTCACCTCTGTCCATTCTAAGGCCAGTTTATACTATTTCTGGACTTATGTCTCCATGTCTGTCTTGGACATTGATTCCTCCTGGGGGCCAATATGTTCTCTCTCTTATGTGATAAGATTGATTTTTACTCTTATTGGGAAAAGATGCTTTCCTGAGATGCCTCTGTCAGAAGCAACTTATCCCCAGCTTTGTTCACCTTCTTTCCATGTAATCTCAGAGCTTTGTATCAGGCTTTTTATATTATGTTCTCCACCTCTACCTCCCCACTTCCCTAGCAGAAAACAGCATCTCCCACCCTACCACTCCACCTCCTTTGTGAATTAAAAGTCTTAGGAAATGAGATTCATGAGAAAACAGCTTCCAAAGGCTTCTCCTTGGTATTTTCTGTTTCTGGGCCAACAGAGCTGAACAATTCCAGAGAACTTTTAGAATCGAGTATTGGGGATATCACACTGGCCTGCTCTCCAATGGAAATTCTGCAGGGGAATGACTATAGTTCGTTTGGTCATTTCCACTGTCCTCTGCCTCTCCATCTATCTGAATGGAGGAGTGGTTTTTCACTGCTAGGTCTTCTCTCCCCACACAATTGCTCATGCCCTGGTTGCCTTTTCTTTTTCCTGTAATTTTAATTACCGTAATGTATATGTGGCTTATTACTTGTTGGTTCAAAGTAGAAGAGTTTGTGAGTTACTCTAAGAATCATCTTATTCTACTATCCTACAAGTTATTTAACCATTCTGGGCCTCAGTTTTCTCATCTGTAAAATAGAGGGTGGAGGGAGAAGGATGACTTCTGAGATCCTTGCAACTCTGAATATAAGACTCTATGATCTTCCTAATCAAATGTCCCTTTTATAATGAGACCTGTTGTCATATAATATCAAATTCCCTAGAACAGAATTAAGTGTAATAAGTATGTAGTAGAGAACATGTAGTATAATTTAAAATCTAGTTTTTGTGATATGTGAGGAGTACAGGACTAGTTTTTTACCTGTTCTTCAGTTTTATTAATGAAATAAGATGAATAAAAATAAAAATAAAATCATCCATCAACTTGTATCTTATGTTGTACCTGTATTGGTTAGGTGAATTGGTGTGCTTATTTCTTCTGTGATTTTTGGATCAGAAATCACTTAAAAATTAGTTGTCTATATTTTTTTAGGATTCTTTTTCTTCTCAGCTTGAGGCAAAGTATTCTGCAAATATTACTTGATGAACCTGTCTTCTGGAGTAATTAATTAAAAGGTATTAATTTCCACACATGTTAAATAAGAATAGTGAGCTACAGGGAAATTTTGTATTTTACTTAGTTTGCGTAGTATATTATATGCTTTAGTTAACTAAAATGTAAGTTTCCTCTCTTCTAAAAAGTGTAATTTATCAGTGTAGTTTCCAGGAAGCTGAAATGAATTATTGAGAATGAAAAACAGTAGGTGAAAAAAGATTTGTAGAACATCATAGGGGAATGGGCCTTCAGAGATAATTCCAATCCCCTCATTTTACAAATGAGAAAATAGAGTTGTAAAGAGATGATGTGATTTGCCATACATGACAAGATATGTTAGTGACAAAGCTATGTCTAGACTAGGATTCAATTTCTGGTCTAGTGTTTAGTCAGCTACATCACATTTTGTCATTATTTTAATTAAACAAAATGCTAATATGCTATGTCTGATAATTTAATAAAGCATACAATGTCTTGATCTGTTGTAAATGGGTCATCTCTAAGAATAAGCTACCACCTCTAATTAAAATGACGTCACTTAAAAATATATACGTACAACTGAATTTTAGCCCATATAATCTGTATACCTGCCAAATGGCTTGAAGAATATGTTCATTTTAATTGAAATGTTTTAACCTGGCGCACTAACAAATAGAGGACATTTATGTAAGCCTTGCTATATTTTCTGTAAGTCTATGTAACTTCTTTGTACTTTTATATCCAAATGGCTTATGTTGCTTAAGTGATAACTGTAAAGTGGGGTAGTGGTGGTATAGAATCCGTCAATGAACAAACATTTGTTAATTTTAAAAATAAAATTTTATTAATATCTTTGGCTTTTATATCATATAAATTTCCTCCCTTAGCGTAGTGCCTCCAGTGCTTAGCATAGTGCCTCCAGTGCTTATCACAGTGCCTGACAAATAGTAGGTATTTAATAAGTATTTATGGAATGAGTTAATGAATTCCATATAGCAATTTTTTAAAGCAAAAAGAAGAGTGGAATGAAAAAATTAGTGTGCATGAGCATTTATTAAGCATTATGTGCTAGGCACTGTGCTAGGTGCTGAGGATACAAAGACAAAAATAAGATAGGCCCTTCCCTCAAAAATCTTATATTTTATGGGGTAAATAACATGTACATAAATATACATATACAATTATAAATAAAATAAATACAAAATAATTTTTAGTGCGGAGATCAGGAAATGCTTCATGTAGGCATTGTATAAACAAAGATTTGAAGGTGAGGTGGGAATAAATTCTGGTCACTGAGGACAGCAAAGGTGCAAAAACAGAAGATGGAGTGCTCTTTGTGAGGGATAGCAAGAAGACCAGTTTGACCAGACTGTAGAGTACAAGAAGGGGAAGTAAAGTATAATAAGGTTAAAAGGCCATGGGCATGAGAGAGATTAAGAAAGAATGATATAAAATGGAGAGTAAACACTTCCATAGGCAGTAGTTTTGTGTGGAGACAGGCAAAACCATCAGATTACAGAAACTCAACTCAGACTTTGAGTCATGAGTCAGTTTTCTATAGAATTCCAATCTCTTCTCCTTTACTAATGCAGGTATAATTAGACCCAGGCATCATGGGTCTTTTTCTTCCAGCATTGTACTTTTTAAAAAAAAATCTGTTTATTGGGGCAGCTGGGTGGTACAGTGGATAGAGCACTGGCCCTGGAGTCAGAAGGACCTGAGTTCAAATCTGTCCTCAGATATATAACTCTCCCTAGCTGTGTGACTCTGGGCAAGTCAGTTAACCCCAATTGACTCACCAAAAAAAACCCCTTTTTATCTTTTCTGGTTTGTTGATCATTTCCTTTTGCTTTGATCTGCTGAAAGGTTACAAAACATTTTGTTCTTTCTTCTCCCTTTTAAGGTATTGCTAATGATTTATTGATAAATATTTTGGATGACTCCTAGTTTCAGGGAGGGGGCAAATAAATAATTCTAACTCTTTTTTGAGACACTTAATAGAAACCGCACTGATATGAAGGAATAAATTTGAAAGAGGTTGAATAGATAACAATTTTGAAGCACCAGAATTTTAGGTGGTTTTATGAACTTCTCCACTTGGCTTTTGTTTAAAGTCCATCTGATTAATTCAACCAAAAATGAATAAGTAAAGGAAGATGTATTCAGAGTCACATGAAGTTGGTCTGAAGTGGTATGATGACCTCCTTTTAAACTGATTTATCTGGATTCTAATCTATTACTACAGTTCTAACTTTAAATTAACAAAAGTTTGTGAGTTTGAAAGAATATTTTCTCATAAAATTTTCTGATAACTTGGATTTTGGTGAATGTTAACTAAGCTGCTGCAGAGTTTGTATTCTAACTTTTCTTGCATGTTACTGCATTTGAAAGTTGCATGAAAGCACTAACTGCCTTCTTTCTCTTCCCCCTGACTTGCTGCAAGGCTGCCAGACAGATCAAAGATAGGTATGGTACATACTCTACATTACATTTTTTTGAAGTATTGATTTCTAAGTCAGAAATGAAATTCAGTATTTGTTTTGTATCACAACCTTAGTGGTTGAAATAAAAATATTTAGTAGTAAAGTGGGGGAGGTGGGGCACCTTCTATACATCCTCTTGGAATATCCAGTGTTTCTCTTTATCTTTAAAACAGTTGAGGAAAAAAATGTGTTTCCCAAGTAATTTCATTTCTGACATAATTCCCATTTATGTTGCCTGACATATTATATAATAGATTTGATACAATCAGTTCTTGATTATCTTTTCTAATGAAGGGGAGGAGTGCTGTGAATTATTTTTTAAAAGTAATATTTGTCTTTGAAATTTCATTTTTGTGCTTAAGTTTGATATTCTGATAATATATAGTATTTTAAACATTCTTGGAAGTTGTACTGTTTTCCAGCATCCACTGCCTCTCTAGACCCTCCCTTAACAATTCCTTTGTGGTTTTTCACTCCATGCTGGGTGTTGACTGTTAATTCTGAAAATAATTCGTTGAATTCTAAACTCCTGGTACCTTTTTTTCCCCTCATGTCCATTTCTACGTAGTTGCAACTCACCTAGGAGAAGAAAGATAATGGAGATATTTAGGTAGTTTGGCTATTTTCTGGTGGTAAAACCAGGATTTGATAGAAATCTTAGGATTCTGGTTAGTAAGTAAGACTAAAGTTTTGTAGGAATTTCTGGTGGCAACATTTGGATAATATTAGTAGGAAGTAGAAAAGTCAGTAGACCTTCTAGATAATGATCAAGAATTGACTGTACTATGATTGTTAGCCTAAAATGTGTGACTCCCTGCCTTCCCTTTTCTCTCTCCCTCTTCCTTTTCCCCCTTTGCTTTGGGTAATTGGGTTTATTTGAAAAATGTTGCTCTTATAAGACATGCCCACCAATCTGTGATATGTAGGATTATTTTTTCTCCATTGAAATGAGCTAATTTGCTAATCATGGACTATGTGAAAGAATTTTCAAAATCATCAGTATATTTGTTCATTTTGATTGAGAAATTTAGCTTTCAATCCATATTCCTCCTTTATATCATTAAGAAAAAGTTAGTTGTTCTCATGCCTGTAGATCTTTACAATAACGTAAATATTGTATTGTCTAATATATTCATTCTAATTTTTGTATTCAGATTCTTGGTTTTGCTTATAAATCAAATGGGGGAGAACCAAGAGGAAAAGATAAAGATTTATGTGGAAAGAGTATTAGTAATCTATATCAGAGTTACCTTTCTTAATCTTAATTTTAAAATGTACTTGTTTATTATAAGGAAATAGAAGCTACACAAACTTTTAGGTTGGCAATTCTTAACTTAAGGTCGGCAAACTTTTAAAATATGTATTTTTGGTAAGTTTTTAATATAATTGGTTTCCTTTATAATCCTTTGTATTTTTATTTTTATGCATTTAAAAACATTCTGAGAAGATATAAGTAGACTTCACCAGACTTCCAAAAGGATCTATGACACAAAAAATGGTTTTGAATTTATTAATTCAGGTTTAAATAGATGGAGTTTTCATTGATCCCTGGCCTGATGAGAGACTCAGTTCTTTCCAGTATCTTCTTTCTAGCATCATCTCCAGTTATAGAATGCCCATGTGATTTTCTGTGAGAATCCAGTTCTAAACTCCAACACCTAACCCCCTTGATAAGAAAGAAAATTTATTTTCTGACTTTTAATATTTATTTCCATGAACTTTAGGATATTCTGTACTCCCCAAGACCTTGGAGGACCTATTGGTCAAGATCTATGGCACATCACAGTGGCCATCTGATCAGTAGGCTTCTCATGCTGCTCAATTTCCTGTCTCTAATGCATCCTTACCTCACAACTGAAGGTTATCCAAACTCTAGGCTGACAGATTTTATCTCCATAAGCTGAATATCAACGTTTATGTTTTCCTTTCCATACGTGCCTTGTTCCTATGTAATGTGCTAATGCCTTGAATTTAGTTGAGGAGTAGCCACTGGATGCAGAACCCAACCAATACAAACAACATTTGGACACTTATGGCCACCCCATGACAGTAGGTGTTGAACTGGGGAAAGAGGAAGAAAAGGTGTTTGACCCCAGCTCCTTGAAATCTTATCTATATGGAAGCTATTCTGTAGCCAACTCCAAGGATGTCAAGTGCTTTAACTTACATGATGATGTGTGAGAAACATACCAAGGATGGGTTTGGGTCAGTAAGAACCTAGACAAAAATTGAGGCTATATATGAGAGGGCTTCAGCCAAAAGATTAAAGAATAAAGGGCACTAGTTGTATAGTTTCTTGGATGTTAACAGTGCCCAGAATCTAGCAATCACGTGTTCACAAAATTGACCTACAGACTTCAGACTTGGTTAAGAGTCATTGCTATTATTAGTACTTTTCATTTAGAGAAGACTAGTATCCTTGACCTGCTATTCTTCATGATGTTATAATATTTTATGAAGGTTGTACTCATAGTATATGTGAAGGTGGATTGGGAGGTATTGAGGATACACCAGATCTTCGTGACACAAAATGAAAAAAGTTGCCAAAAGATTGATTGGATGCTAGGGCTTCCTGGCATCTTTGTGCTCTAAGAGTTGTTATCCATGATGATCGAACTGACAAAAAAACAGAAGTTATAGATTTACAGTTCACCTAGTCCAACCACCTAAAATTTTACTTTAAATTTTTAATGATGTCACTTTTGCTTCTGAATGTATCCCTCCCTGTTTCCCTTCTTGGTGAGCCAGTCTCTTTGAACAGAAAATAAAAAAGAGGGGAAAAATGCAGTTCACAAAAACTAATCAACATATCAACCATTTGTGATGATGCACACACAGTATTGCAGTGTTCTACCCTCAAAACTCCCCCATTTTGCACATGAGGAGGTTGAAACTCAAGAGATATTGAGTGATCTACTCTTGCACTTTTAAATTATTCTTTGGTTTACCTGCAGTTTTAATTCTTCAGAGATTGGTATTCTGTAACTTTGTCATAAATTATTTTGTCATATAGTCGTTTATCATAAAGTGTTTCATGATATATAAATAATAATTAAATTATATGTCATAAATTTTAAAATACTGATATTTTAAGGTGGGCCTTTGTTTTAGATGGTTCGCTCACTTCCACGCAGGTGTCTCCTATCATCTCAAGAGTGTATTTACAGTGGCTGGCAGCATTGATTTTCTGATCTATTATTATTCTGCCTAAACCATTCAGAAGAAAGTCATGTTGAGGAAAACATCATAATCAAAGGAACTACCTCTAGTCCTGTCTCATCCAGTGGCATCTCTCTTTCTCTTTCCCTTATGTTTCTTCTACCCCCTACCTTTTTCCCTCTCTTTTTCCTCTCTTCCCTCTCATAGCTGTGGCCTGACTCCCCCACCCCTCACAAAAGCTATGCTTAACCCCCTACATTTACCCCTGCCCCCAGTTGTTGAAAAAAGTCTAAAACCTTCACACTTTCACTAGACATATATGTCTCTAGTCCTTTGGGAGCCTTCATGCCTGATCCATTTCTCTCTCCCCTGTTGTGTTTGCTTGTAGTGTTTTTACTACTAGCATAAACTTTTGAAGAACTAAGCCTAGCTTAGAGTCCAGTTCCTATTGGCTGGGTGATATATGATAGAGAGTACCAGTTCCTCCTTAGACTCCTGTAGTGTATCAACTCACTCTCTCTCTCTCTTTTCTTTCTTTTTTCGTTTCTTCTTTCCTTCCTTCCTTTCCTTCCTCTTCCTCTGTTCACGTAGGGAATCATACCCTTACTTGTGGATGTTCTTCCCAAAGGAATATAAATTTTGATCACTGAAACCTAGGAATATATCTTGGGGTTTATGGGCAAGATTTCTTTATTCTCTTCCCTATTTATTCTATCATTAAAAAAACTGGGACAATTAACTCTTTTGCCTTATGTAGTTTCATTTATGATTTCTTGAAATACAACGTTGGAAACCTAGGCTTTGATGAAGCCCATTGGGATTCAGTCTTGACCTTGCCTTAAAGCCAAATCACTCTGGTTCTCACTGATTGGTCAACAGTAGGTTCCAGCCCAGGCCTCACTTGGTCATTGTTTGGGTTTTGATGACTCAGAGTGAGTGTGAATAATAATTGTTTCTGTTTTGGCCAGAGACCCTGAGGGTCTTCCCTTTCCCAGTTGATTTTTTTTAACTAGGTAAAAAAGGCCATTTTTTGCCTCATTTCCTAACTAGCCTTAATCACTGAAGGGGCATTGCCTCAGACAAACAGGCCTGGGAAAGACCTTAGCTTTAAAAGGTCAAGGTCTCCCACTGCATCCAGAGCCATTTTCAGTCATCCTGATCTATATCTTGCCACTGGACCCAGATGACTCCAGAGGAGAGAGTGAGGCTGGTGACTTATACAGCCTTACCTCACTTTAATCCAATAAACTTGGAAGTCAAGGTATCACCTTCCTTATGTCTTTGGTCCTCTTTGGGAATGAAGGACAAACAACACCACTATCAACTCTAACCAAAACAAAACAAACTGATTCCCTTTCTTTTCCTGTTTGAAAGTTGACCATCCATCAACTTCCTGTTTTGTTTTTGCCTGATGGGCTATTTTTAGTTCTTAACTCATTTGCACAGTAGGAGTGACTGATAGATTCTGAGTTGATCAAACTTCTTCAGGTCACTAGCTCCTACTATTATCCCTTAGTTTCTTTGTTTTATTTCTAAGATGCCTTCCTTCAGAAAACATCAGATTGGTTTTTCTAGATTTCTACATTTTTACAATACCAAAATATGCTAAACACACAGTGGAAGTAAGAGACATTATTTCCACCAAGAGAAGATATGTGAATCATGATCTCACACTTATATGATGGCAGAGAGAGGTTTTATGGAAGAATGTTTAAGGTGTCTGGACAGAGAACTGAGTAGAGATAAAAGAGATGAGAAGCAATAGATGATGAATGAATATTCCAGTGTTTATAATGACATAGGGTATATAGAATAAGGGGAAGATGTGAGAATAATATAAGCACTTTTGCTCAGTCTACTAAAAACTATGGTTATTGCTAATAACAAATATGTTTTATTAGAGACAGTTTTATTTAAGGGTCATTGTCATGCTTTTCTGCTTTAGCAGAGATCCTCGGTAGGCAAGGTAGACAGCAACTTAAGGTACAACAAGCAAGGGAGTACAAGATATACTTCTTACCATTAATAAAGGTAAATTAAATTCAATTCAGTAATTATTTGTTAAGTGCCTGCTATGTACTAGGTACTATTGGGGGGGGGGGATATAAATAAGAAAAAGAAAGCTCCCTGCACTCAAATAGCTTACAATCTAATTGGAGGAAGACAATATCCGAAAAGAAGCTGGAAATGAGAGGCAAACCAGGGGGTACCTGTCATGAAGGCATGATGTTCTGTGGAGTTAAACTAAGCAGAACTGCTGATGAAAAGTGGAGAATTAGGTGGAAAGTCCAGATTCCAGCCCTCTTTAAAGGAAAGCTCAGGAAAGAGTTTTTGCTCAACTCTGTAGCCCCCCAATCAGAGGGAGAGAGGAGGATTGAGGGAGCTGAGAAAATGTTGAGTATCTAACTTAGTTAGCACGAAGAGGAGATTTCAGGTGATCAGCTTATCCTGGATGGGGCATGATGTTCCTGGAGTCTAAACCAACCGGAGCTGCTGAGGATAGATGGAGGATTAGGTGGAAAGTTCAGCTGCTGTTTAGTGCCAGAAGATTCTTTTCTCCATGGCACTGAGCTACTTTCTTGTCTTTTATTATGAAAATTCAGAGTTGCCATTGGACAGTCAGGCACAGGGGTAGGAGTGCAATGGCCAGGCCTTAGAGCAGACCTGCACAACTTGGCAGTAGGTAGGGCCAAAATTAAAATAGGCTAAACTTCTTCATGCTGAAGATACATTTTTAGTGGCTCACTTTCCAAGCAAAGGAATAATTAATGATTAAACTAATTTGCAAATAAACTATATTTTTTTTAAAAAGGGAACTTTCAATTAATTATTACTTAAGATTTTTATTTATCATGAAATTGTTTCTCTCAGACTAGAGACAGACTGATGATGGTTGGTTGCCATGAGTCATGTGACAAACAGGAGAGAGTGTAAAGTAGTAACCCCCCCACCAAGTTACGTGATGGGCACATTAGTGACTAGTGGAAGGTGGGTTAAGTGGGGCACGGACAAAGTGCTTGTTACATCTTTACTTTCTTTCACATCCTCTACATTTTTCAAGGGCTGCCCATAATCCTTTGGCGGGCCACAAGCAGCCCATAGGCCATATGTTGTGCAGGTCTGCCTTAGAGCATGTGAATATTTTCGCTTAATCTTGAATACATAGTAGAGTTTGAGGATTAGTAAGGGAGGTAATGTTGGGGAGATCACTGGAGAAATGTATCATTGCGAGGAAAATTACAAGTTGATGTGAGAAGTAATTTGGCAAATTTAAAGCAGCATTTATAATTCTGTTTTGGGGATATGAAAAGATATTTGGAAGGAAAGTAACCATTGTGGTGGAGTGGGAAGAGCACTGGCTTTTTTAATCTATCTACGTCTACCTGTCTATCAAATGTATATATTTTTAAAAATGTGTTTGTAGATGTAGATGCAGTCAGGAGATCAGGGTTCAAATCCTAAGTCAATTAACCTCCCTCTCCTTCAGTTTCCTGAACTGTAAAATGAGTCTGGACTAGTAGGTGTCAGTGGTCCTTTGGAGGTCTAGATATATGATCATCTACTAAATCGTATCTCTGCCACTTCCTCCTGTGTGACTGTAAAAAGCCACTTAATCTCTCTGGACTTTAATTTTTCTCATGTGTAAAATGAGGGAGTTGGACTAAATAATCTCTGAGGTCCTTTCCAACTCTAAATCTCTTATCCGATGATCTTCATATTCATTTTAAAGCATTATAAATAAACCAAGAGAGGTATATTAATAATAGTGGACATTTAAATATCAAAAACAAACTACATATGTTCTCCTCTTCAGCCTTACAACAACTCAAATAGGTAAATGTTATGAATATTATTTCCACTTTACAGATAAGGAAACTGAGGCTCCAAGAAGTCAAGTGGCTTGCCCATGGTTACATATGAAAATGTCTTAGGTGGGATTCCAGATTCTAAATCCAGCACTCTTTTCATTACATCAAGCTGCCTCTCTTCATAATAAATCAAGCCATAATTAAAATGCAAGATTTAAATATAATTAAAACCGTTGTTAAACTAAGTCATAGTTGAAATATGCAGGCTAAAATACTACAGTGTGGCATTAAGGTATGATGTGGCCATTAAGGCATAATTGTCCAGATGTATTCAACTTGTTTATTGCAGCCAAGAAGTTCAAGTTTTGAAAATTATATATGCCTTATATGTAATTTATCTGTATAAAATGTTACACATGTATTTTACATATATGTATATATATATTTTACAGCCCTATGTATAGTTTTTGCTTTTTCCACAAGGCATGTATATTGAATGATACAGTTTTATTTTAAGGTTTTGGTAATTCTTTCCAGTGAGCCTTTTAAAAAATGATTTCTCAAAACACTGAAATTAGCTACTTCCTAGGTGTCACAGATTGGTAGATGTGAATTTATTTGTAAGGTTTATTGCCTTTTAAAATGCATGAATGTTTTAAAAACATTTCATTGTACCTCAGAATTTTGAACTAAAAATTCCTATATAGTTTGTGTTAGGTTTGATGGGAACCAATGAAGATAATAAATTATTTAGTTATCTTCATTTATTCGGCAAGGATTTACTTTGATTGGTTTGCACATAGCTTTTTCAGATGTCAAATCTGCTTCAAAAAAATACAGAAATTGTCTATCAATGACTTGACCCAACATGAGTACTATGTACTAGAATTCCAGTCCATTGAAATGGTGCTTATCAGGAATCTGAGACTGAAATTGAATCCAAGAGTCCTCTTCTTGGAGATTGTGCTTTGGTATGCAGATTGTTGTTAAAACAACTTTTCCCTAGACTTGAAATTAAATAGCGTAAGGGCAGTCTGGTTGAGATATCTCTTGATTGCAAGGTTTGATTCTGATGATCTGGTTAGTTAAGCGGTTACCTACTTCTTCACTCTGTGTTCTGGGTGTATCTCTTATTCATGCTTGGTTTGAAAGGGTTAATTTTCCCTGAGTTCAGCCTGACAACCAGTTTAGCATGCTTGTGGCAATTTATTATGGTTGGAAAAATTAGAATTTTAGGGGAAAATATAACATTTAGAAAGTATTCTGGGTTTTTTAGGCAAAACACTAAGTACAAGTAATTAGTAAAGTAAGCAGTGCATTATTTTTATTTTATTTTTTGTCCAGATTTTATGTCCAGATTTATGTCCAGATTTCATTCCTGTAGAGGGATCTGGGTAAGGGAATTCCCTTCACCAATGAAGATTGTTCACTGTTCTGTAATTTATAGCTTTACAAAGTTGTCTGGGGTACCAAGAGTTTAAGAGACTTGCTCAGGTTCACATAGCCAGTATGGGTCACTTTATTATGACCTATTAATTAAAAAACAAATGCATAGAAATTAGATAGATTCCTATCCAGATCCCATTTTGATAATGAATTGGTAAGTAAGCCTTTTAAATGTACCTGTACAGGCATTTTGTAAATTTAAGATGCCTTGCCGTAGTCAGACCATATCTAGAAAATAGTGTTTAGTTCTGGACTCCACAATTTAAGAACAACATGGATAAGTTGGACAGTGTCCAGATAAGGGCAACCAGGATGTTGAAGGGCCTGAGTTCATGTCATGTGACTATTGGTTGAAGGAACTGAGGATGTTCAGCTTGGAAAAGAGAAGACTGACAGGGAAGGAAGGAGACATGATAGCGGAATTTCAAGTATTTGAAGGGCAGTTAGTTATATGGAAGAGGAATTAGACTTGTTCAGTTTAGCTCTGTAAAGCAGAATCAGGAGCAACAGGGTGGATGTTGCAAAGAGGGAAATTTTGTTTTGTCAGGTAAACCAGGAAAACTATTAGACCTGTTCAAAAGTAGACTGCACTAGTTGTTCCCCCTCCTTGGAGGTCTTCAAGCCACAGGCAGGATAACCACATGTTAGGTATGTTAGAGTGTAGATTTCTTTTAGATGTGGGTTGAACTAGATGGCCAGTAAGGTCCCTTCTAAACTCATATTCTGTGACTTTGTGAAAGTCTCAAGTTTACTAGTACGTGATTTCTCAAATGACCTGTCAGTATTTTAATAACTTTAATTTTAAAACAATCTTAAAAATGTGAGAGTTGTACCCTAATTAACAAAGCAATACAATACTGTTATGGTTGTTGATCACTTAACTCTTTCACCTAGATTCTCTTATTCCTGCTTACCAAGCTACACATCTTCTTTTTTAAGGGTATATTTTCATGTGAACTGGTATTAAAGAGCAGAGTATGAATAGAGTTTGGTATTTGGGAAAAGAATTGAGACTGGCATTATGAGATTTTGGTATGATTTTATGTGTAAGTGGTAGATAGTGATTAGTTTTAAGGATATGAATTTCTGTAAGCTAATGCAATTATATGTTGACTTTTTTGGTTAAATACATATATAATGAAAATATTGAACGAGGGTCACAAAATCCATTGATAAATTTTAATGTATCTTCACATTAAAGAACATTTGACAATTTTAAGCGTAATTTTAGAAAGAACCCCAAAGCACATTATAATTGGACGTTGACATTATCTTTGGTACCATCTTCTGAAATTATTAAACATTTCTTCACTTATTCATTTTATGAATTAAATTGATTATCTTTCATGTTTTTTCCTCCTTGTTTAACCGTGTCACTTTTGTATTTGATATAGAGTCACAATGGCTTCAGCTTTTCGCCTTTCTTTGAAACCAAAGGTCAGTGATAACATGACTCACCTAATGGTGGATTTTTCTCAGGAAAGACAGATGCTCCAGACTTTGAAGTTTCTGCCAGGTAAATGTAAAATTAATGTGGTGTTCTTGTGTTCTTATATTAAATAGATTTTCTCCCTTTTAAGTTTTTCTGTACTGAACAGCTGTTTGACTGTTACAGTCTGATTACTTTCATTTAGCTGTAAGTGTATGGACAAAATTAACAATATGATCTTTTTGTTGTTGAGTCGTTTCAGTTGTGTCTGACTCTTTGTAATCCTACTTGGGACTTCCCTAGCAAGGATACTGGAGTGGTTGGCCTTTTCCTTCTGCAGCTCATTTTACAGATGAGGAACTGAGGCAAACAGGGTTATGTGACTTGCCCAGGGTCACATAGCTAGTAAGTGTCTGAGGCCATATTTGAATTCAGGAAGATGAGTCTTCCAGACTCTAGGCCTGACACTCTATCCACTGCACCACTTTTAATGGAGTGTTAATTTTTAAAAAAAATTTAGTATTTTATTTTTTCCCCAATTACATGTAAAAATAATTTTAACTCTTGTTTTTTTAGAACTTCTGTGTTCCAAATTCTCTCTCTCTCTCTCCTTACGCATCATTAAGAAGGCAAACAATTTGATGTAGGTTATACATGTACAGTCATGCAAAACATATTTCCATGTTACTCGTGTTGTGAAAGAAAACAAGAAAAATAAAGAAAAAGTATGCATCAGTCTACATTGTCTCCATCAGTTCTTTCTCTCGAGATGAATAGCGTTTTTCGTCATAAGTCCTTCAGAATTGTCTTAGATCATTGTGTTTCTGAGAATAGCTAAGTCATTCACAGTTGATCATCATATAGCATTGCCGTTACTGTATACATTGTTCTCCTGGTTCTACTTATTTCACTTTGCATCAGTTCATGTAAGTCTTTTCAGGTTTTTCTGAGAGCATCCTGTTCATCATTTCTTATAGCATAATAGTATTCTATCACAATCATATACAACTTGTGTAGCCATTCAGTGGAGGGTTAATTTTAAAATGGCAAAAGTATGGTAAAATTTTTTTTAAATAGTCCCCATTACTATTGTATGCATTATTATTATTATTCTTGTTACTGTTATTGTTATTTTTACTAAATGAGCTATTAAAATAATAGTTTGTGCTCAATCAGGTAGCCAGAGCCTTTAAAAAATTGGGACAAAGTAGGTGTAAGTTATATAGTTTTAAAAATGTCTAATGGATGATGGTTCAGGAAATGTGTACTAAGTTTAGAGTTAAATAATTTAGCTTTGGTTTTTTTTAATTTGAGTAAAATTTGAAGTGAGATGTTATTACTAAGGCAATGCATATTAGCTTGAAAAAACTTTTAAAATCTAGCTAGAGAGGTTGATAAAATAAAGTTGCACTTGTGTAGATCTGCCTTAGCTGCTGAGCCTGATACTGAGTTTTTATGTTAAGGTACTTGAATTATTGCTTTGGATACTGTTAGAGACCATGTGGTGATGTAGATTCGGCGTCAAATGTCATTTTGAATTTTAACGCTAGCTATGATGGGGCCTGGTATAAATTGCTGAACTTCCTGAACCTTAGTTTTCTCATTTGTAGAATAAAGAATATAGAATAGATTTTTTCCTAACGTGCCTTTCAGTTTTAAACTTTATATGCTGTAAAATGGAAACAATAATACTAGTACTACTTGCTTTTCTTAGAGTTAAAATAATTAAATGAGATGACTATAAGTGTTTAAGGGCTATCTGAACATTAATTATTATTAGTACCAATAGAAGTAGGGATAGAAAATTAATGATTATTATGATTGAATAAATCAATACGTAAACATTCATTAAGTATCTACTATGTGCCAAATAATAGTCTAGGTGCTGGGGATACAAAGACAAAAAAAGAAGCAATTCTTTCTCTCAAGGAGCTTGCATTCTATCTGGGAAGACAAAATGTACATATACAGGGTGTCCCAGAAGTCCTAGTGCAGTTTTAAACTTTAATAATTGGCAATCACTGGTAATAGACAGCTAGCTTGATTGGATTGGGGCAGCTAGATGGCACAGTGAATAGAGTGCCAGGCCTGGAATCAGAAAGACTCATTTTCCTGAGTTTAGATCTGGCCTCAGACACTTACTAGTTGTGTGACTTTGGGCAAGTCACTTAACCCTATTTCCCTCAGTTTCTTCATCTGTAAAATGAGTTGGAGAAGGAAATGGCAAACTTCTCTAGTATCTTTGCCAAGAAAACTCCAAAATGGGTCACAAAGAGTCAGACTCAACTGAAACTGAACTTAATTGGATTATGGCCCCTAAGAGTTACTTGGCTTTGTAAGTTTTAATCCTTTAAAATTGCACCAAGACTTTTAGGACATTCGAATAAGCATATACAGAATAAATATATATGGAATAAATATAAGAAGTGGTATAAGTTACTTAAGGAAGATGTGCTCTGCATTTTGGGGTGATCAGGAAAGGCTTTATGTAGAAGGTAGTGGTTAGGCTGAGTCTTGAAAGAAGTGAAAGATTCTTTAAGACAGAAGTGAGGAGGGACTTAAGGTAAAATGTAAAATAACTACTATGTTAATTGAAATTTACCCACTTAGAAGTGTTTTTCAAAAAATCATTAAGCTATCAAAATTATATAAGTTCTGAAAAATTTGAATTGGTTTTGTGCTAATCTCTGTTATCTTTTAATTATAAAGTTGAATTCCATCAACTTTCTTAATGAAAAACTGCTATGTGTAAAGTGCTTGCTTGCCAGGTGCTGAATAAGCAAATGAGCAGATTTAAACAACTTCAGACTTCAGAAACTTGTATCTAAACTGTTTAGTTTGCTAATGTAAACCATATAATTCAGTCAGTTCACTTGAGTGCCTACAATGTGCTTGTCCCAATGGACAATATGAAAGAACATAAGACATAGTTTCAGCTCAAATGGGTAAGGAGTTTGTAGTCTTCTTGGGAAGACAAAGGAAATACACATGAAATAATTACTGTCTATCATGGTAGATTTATTTGCCTTGTACTGTTTATAAACCACATAATCCAAATGTGTATATGTGCATATATGTACTTATACAACATATAGTACATATATGTATATTGCCAAAGATCACATATTTTGCACTTTAGCTAGTATTCTTTCCCTAGCACTCCTAGTATATGTCATCCAATCAAGCATCTAATATATACTGTTTCATATATAAGGCATATGGAAGAAATAGAAAAATAATATACATCTTTACTCCATTTCAGCCATAGGGATGGTTACAACTAGATCTTGACATTGTAAATGTTTGACTACCTTGTTTAAAAATTGACATTCCCCTTTCTGACCCCTCCTATCACACCACTTCTCTTTATGCTTCATCCCTTCTACATCTGTTTCTTAAACCTCATGAAGATTTCCATTCCCTTCATCCCTCAGTACTTTCTCAGGCCATTATCTCAGCTTTGACTTCACTTTCCTCCTTCTCCAACTTCAAATAAATAGGTAGCCATTTCAACTCTACACTATCCTCTGCTCTGAAATTTCATGTGCCCTTGTTAAGCTGCCACTTTTCTTTTTAAACATCAGCCCTGAATTACTCCTACCATCTACCTCCTCTATTCCTAGTCATAAGCTGCTGAACAAAAATTGAAGAAAGTCTCATAACTGTGCTGGGAATATTATAACTTCATGTTACTAGGCCTCAAGTGGGCCCCCACTGCAAATTGATCTTTTTCTTTTGGGGGGGGGAAGCAATCAGGGTTAGGTGACTTGACCAGGGTCACATAGTAAGTGTCTGAGACCACATTTGAACTTGGTTACTCCTGACTCCATAGCTAGTGCTCTATCCACTGCACCACCTACATGCCCCTCTAGTTGATCTTTAATCTCACACTTTACAGAAGCTATTCCAAACCTCATACCTCCTTAAGCCTTCCACACTTCTCTATCTTAACTGAGGACCTTGCTTTATACTTAAAATTGAGACCATTCAACCTTAGCTCCCTCCTTTTCCATTCTCTTCATCTTAAAACCCCTCAGAATTATCTCTCAGTCTTTCCTCCTTTTTCCAAGTTTCTGACAAAGAAGTGGTTCCTCTCTTTGCCAAGATTCATCCTTCTACCCTTGCACTTCATCCCATTCCTTTCTGTTTTCTCTAGTATATTTTATATCTTCAGTCTTTCTCTCCCACACTTAAATCTTCGACGTCTCCCTATCAACTGGTTCCTTTCCTACTACCTTCAAATGTGCCTGTCTCTCTCATTCTATTGTTCTCATCTCCACCCTTTCTGGGCCAAAGTCTTTGAAAAAGTTGTCTACATTTAAGTCTACTTCCTCTCCTTTCACTCACTATTCAACCTTTTCTGATTTGGTATGTGACTTCAGAAATCACTCTCTCCAAAATTGCCAGTGAGCTCCTGATTTACAAAACTGAGTCTTTTCTCATTCCTAATCTTTCTCCATTTATCTGTTATATTTGATAATGTTGACCACCCTCTTCTGGAGTCTTGTTCTTCTCTTGGCCTACATGATACTACTACACTCTCCTGGTTCTCTTTTTACCTGTTTGATCACTCTCCAGTGACCTTTTTGGCTTTTTATCCAAATACCCAATAACTGTGGTTGTTACTCTCTTAGTAACCCCATCAACTTTCATGAATTTAACTCTGCTTTCTATGCAGATGACTTTCAGATCTGTACATCCAGTCCCAGTCTATTCCCTGAGCTTCAGTCCTGCATCACCAGTTACCTAGGAACATTGCAAATTGAATGTTCCAAAGACACCTGAAACTCAGCAAGTCTAAAACTGAGCTCATTGTCTTTTCCATTAAATCCTCCCTTGTTCCAAACTTCCCTATTTTTGTTAAATGCATCACCATCTTCCCAGTGTCAGAGGTTCATAATCTTAACATTGTCCTTTACTCTTTGCTCTCCCATACAACACATATCCCATTAGTTGTCAAAGCTTGCTTTTTCTACATTCACAACATCTTTTGCTTCTGACCCTTTTCTCTACTCACATAGCTGCCACCTTAATTCAAGTCCTAAACTTGAAGATTATTGAAGTGAATTCCTAAATTGGTTTACCTGCCTCAAGTCTCTCCCTACTTCAGCCCATCCTCAACAGTCCTGCCTAAGTGATTTTCCTTAAGCATCCATTTAACCATATTACAAGAACTTGTGACTTCTTATTGTCTCTAGGATAAATATATACTCCTCTGTTTAACTCTTAAAGCCATATGGCACATGACCCCAATCTCTTGACCCCTAGTTTCATTGAATGTTACTTCCCTTCCCAATTGTACACATCTTATGAATTCTTGGGCATTACCTTTCTGAAATTTTGCCTCCAAATGATGATCTATATTCACATACTTTTTGGGGTCCTTCTAGCTCATTCACTGCTTCCTCTATGATATTTGAAGAGGTACTGATATAGTTCGTATGCTGTTAAGGTTTTATCTTACTGCAAGGTAAGGTTTCATCTTTCCTGTTGAAGGTGTAATCTCTGATTATATTTTCCATCAAAAAGTGGCAAATATGTGTTGAAGGAGCTCTCATTTTAGGAAATTGAATAAGGAGACCATTCTGCAATGTTTGACTTTTTTGGAGGGATTTGTGATATAGGACGAAGCCTCTGCTAGAATTAACCATAGTGGCAAAAATTTTTTGTGACTTGTTACTACAGATGTTTATAGAATGATAAGAAACATAAAACAGATTAATTTTGGAAACTGTATCTTATCTTTTTAAATATAAAGGAATAATATTGAAACCTGAACCAAGTGCTTTTTTCATCATCATCATCTATTGGAAAATTAGTATCGGTGAAATTATTTCAGCTATTTGTTTAGATATCTATTACATGTTATTTTTACATTCTCGCATTTTGGATCTGAATATTTACATCTTAATCTTTATTTGTGCTTGATTATACTATTGTACTATATATACTAAGCATAGGCTACAAGTATAAACTGCTTGAATCCAATTATTAGAGATATCTGTCTAACAAACCCATTCTTTCACTTAACCTTTAGTATAAATATGGCATGTTTATAGTGATGTACTGCTTAAAATACAGTAGATGACTCTTGAAAATAAAAAAATTAGTAACTGCTCTTAAATGTTGACATTGAATTGTTTCTCTCATTTCCTTCTTATTTGAATATTAAGACTGGTAATTTTTAATTTCTTTGAAATTATTCATTTCTTTAATGCTAATGAATTGGATTGTTTTGTGTTTTTAATGACTCAGTTCAAGAAAGTGTCTTTTTTTAAAAACAGAATGTAAAGAATCAGGATAGTCACTTGTCTTAACTGGAATTGCTCATACAGTTCAAAAGCAGAATGAAAATATAAATGTTTGAATGGTAAACATAAATCTTTGATTATGATTCTAATAGTTTTTTTTCTCTTTTCTTGTAGTTCCCAAAGCTCCAGAGATAGATCCAGTAGAGTGTCTGGTAGCTGACAATTGTGTAACAGTTGCTTGGAGGATGCCAGAAGAAGATAATAAGATTGATCATTTTATACTAGAATACAGGAAAACAAATTTTGATGGACTTCCACGTGTAAAGGATGAGAGATGCTGGGAACTAATAGATTACATTAAGGGCACTGAATATACACTATCTGGTAAAGACTACATATTCTCATTTGCATGGAAATTGCTGATTTATTTACAATGAGTTGCTATAAAGGAAAGACGTTTAAGAATCCTACATAAAGCTTAGTCTTAAAATATGCATTATCAATGTGTTTCTGAAGTTTTTAATTTACTTTTTATCTTCATCTCTTACTTTGTGTTCTCATTTATAACAAAAGGTACATTTTCTTTTTTACTGCTACATAGATTTACAAATGCTGTTACTTTCTTGAGATATATTCCCAATAGTAGGCTTAGTAGATCAAAGGATACAATTACTTTCATGATTTTTTTGGCTTCTTGGCAGATTGCTTTCCAGAAGGATTTTACCAACTTCCATAGATACCAACAGTGTGTATATATGTGTTCCTTTTTTTCTAACATCCTAGACAATGTGATTATGTTTAATTAATTTTTACTCAAGTGCTGTTTAATTTGCATTTCTTTAGTTGTTAATTGAGGTTGAATAAATTTTCAGATGTCTTATACTATTTGTGTTTCTTAAAAGTATAAATTATCTATCTGTCTATCTGTCTATCTATATATATACTTTGTTTATCTCATAGATATTAGATATTGTATTTAGAGGTTTTTCAGTTTTTTTGTGAATTCTGGGTATCCATTCACATTAATAAGCATTTATTAAGCACCTACTATGTGCCAGGGACTGTGCTAAGTACTGGGGATACAAAGAAAGGCAAATCTATGTCCAAGCAATTTATGTACATGAAACTGGAGATAATCGGCAGAGAGAAAGAACTAGCATTAAGAGGGATCAGGAAGGGTTTCTTGTGCAGAGTAGAATTTTAGCTGGGACTTTAGGGAAGCCTGGAGTGGAGATGAGAAGGGACAGTATTCCAGGCATGAGAGATAGCTTGGGAAAATACATGTATTTGGGAGATAGTGTCTTGTTTGAGGAACAATAAGGAAGTCAGTGTCCCTGGATCATAGTGAAAGAGAATAAGGTGTAAGAAGACTAGAAAAGTAAGAATGGACCAGATTATGAAGGGCTTTAAATGCCAAGAAAAATTTTATATTTGATCTTGGAAGTAACAGGGAGCCCATGAAGTTTATTGATTATACTATTGACATGATTAGACCAGTACATTAGGAAGATCAGTTTGATGGTTTAGTTGAGGATAGACTGATGGGGAGACACTTGAGGCAGGGAGACTAAACAGCAGAATATTTCAGTATCTTTACATGAGGGGATGAGGGCTTATACTAGCATTGTGATAGTACCAGAAGAGAGAAGGGATGCATAGCAGAGATGTTGTGAAGGTAGACTTCACAACAGGACTTGGCAACAAATTACTATGGGCTAGGAGAAGAGGGGAGGAGTGAGTAGTAGAGGAGGACACCTAGGTTGAGAGCCTGGGTGACTGAGAAGATGATGGCCTTCAACAGTAATGGGGAAGTTAGGAACAGGGGAGGATTTGTAGAGGAAGATATTGAGTTCAGTTTTGGACATGTTGAGTTTAAGATGACCACGGGATATTCAGTTTGAAATGTCTCTTGGGCAATTGGAGACGAGAGACTAGAGGTTAAGGATAAGGTTAGAATTGATAAGTTGATCTCAGAATCATCAGCATAGAGGTGACAATTGAATTTATGATGAGAGATGATGAGATCACTAAACAAAATACTATAGAAGGAGAAGAGAAGAGAGCTAAGAATAGAACCTTGGGGGACACCTACAGTTTGTATACATGACCTGAATGAAGATCCAACAAAGGAGACTGAGGAGTGGTTTGATGCATAGGTGGAAAACTAGGAGAGAGTAGTGCCACCAAACCATAGAGAAGAGAGTAATCCAGGAGAAGAGGGTGATTGACAACATCAGAGCCTGTAAGGAGCTCAAGGATGATGAGGATTGTGAAAAGGCTATTAGATTTGTCATTTAAGAAATCTTTGGTGGCTTTGGAGAGAACAGTTTCAGTTGGATGATGAGGTTGGAAACCAGACTACAGAGAATTAAGAGTGAAAGAAAAGCGGTAGAGGCACCTGGCATAAACAGCTTTCTCAAGGGATGTAGCCAGAGAAGGGAGGAAACATAGATAGTAGCCAGTGAGGATAGATGGAGTGAATTGCCTTAATGCTAGTTTCTTCTCTCTGTTGATCATATCTTGAAATGAGGGATTTTTCAGGATAGAGGAGATGTGGGAATATTTGTAGGCAGTAGAGAAGCAGCCAGTAGACAGGGAGAGATTAAAAAGGTAAGTGAGAGAATAAGGATGGTAGAGGAGATAGTCTGCTGGAGAAGATGGAATGGGATGCAATCCCTGAGTGAGATGTTCTTTACAAGGCCAAAAAGAGTTTATTTAATGTATTATTGTTTAACATTTTATGTTTTTATTTTTCTTTATGGATGAAGATCATTCATGTTCTAGCAGGCTTAAAGTTTGATTCAAAATATGTGAAATTGAGTTTGAGCTTGCAGTAAGACTATGGCAAAAGAGTATTCTAATGCAGAGGTGTTTACCTTGATGAGGAGAGGAGCTACCTCTTCATCTGGGGCAGGGGTGGTAGAGGGGGTAAAAGGGTGCATCAAACCTACCATGTAAAAAGCTACCAGATTCCTTTTTGAGTGGTAAATGTGGATTGCATGAACCTCAGAGGAGGAACATGATCTCATGTTTTTTAGTGAAATATGAGAAATGGTTCTTAAATGAGACAGTGGGGGAGGGGAGCCATGGAAGGTTTGAAGAGGGATGGAAAGATTTGGAAAAGGTGCTGTGGTGATAAATGTGAATCAATAAGGGAGTAATTATGGATGTAACAGGCCCCAGTATATAGTGAGGGTCCATTAGAGACTATGTAACACAGTGAAAACAGTTAGTACAGTTTCATGATTTTTTCCACCTTTGTTCAGAAGCTCATGAGTAAGAGTGAAGGGAGCAGAAGTTGGGAATGATCTAAGGCAGGCTTTAGAGGGCAAGTTCTGTGATAGGATGAGCAGGCTAGGAACTGGAGAGTTGAGGGCAGAGTAGAGTTGAATTTGTTAACCAAAGGGTCAGTATGAGGAAGGGAAGAGTATATAGCTAGCACAGGAGTGATGGCCTAGGAAACAACTGAGGAGTGGAGGAATTGGATGTTTCAGTCAAGATGAAAAACAAGTGTAACAATTGTGGGCAGAAGATCTGCATGTGTAGCTGAGGTAGGGTAGGGTGGAGGAGTAGGTCAGAGTGGGTTAAATGAGTAAGTTGAGGACCTGGGAGGTTACTATGTCTGTGGGCATATCAGTATAGTCCTTTAGTACGAGGGCAGGAATTGGAGAGGAAAAACTGAACCAGGCACTGCATTCATTGAGGGAAAAAAAAGAGTGTCCTGGAGTTTTGTTGATAACACTCCCAGATTCTTGATTAGATGGTAAATATGAATTGAATGAACTTCAAAGGAGGAAGAGGTTGAGACTTCAGGGGTGGGGATCCTGTGGCCTCGAGGCCACATGCGGCCCTCTAGGTCCTAAGTGCAGCCCTTTGATTGAATCCAGTCACACTGTGACATCTGGATTCAGTCAAGGGGCGGAACTTGAGGGCCTAGAGGGCCGCATGTGGCCTCGAGGCCACAGGCTCCCCACTCCCTGGTTGAGTGATTGTAGTAAAGGAAGAGCCTGGAATTGACTTTGGAGAGCAAGGACTATTCCAGCTTTCCTGTATAGACCAGTGAGTTGGGGATAGAGTGAAAGTGCAAACAGTGCTGGAAAAGGTGGGCAGGGATGCGATGTCATTAGGAGGAAGCCAGGTCTTGGGCATAGCAAGATGATGGAAGGAGTGGGAAAAGAAAAGATTTAAGATGAAGGCAAGTTTGTTACCTGTGGAATAGGCATTTCAAAGAGCACAGTGGTATGTTGTGGGGGAGGTATTGGTTTGAGGGGGAGGGAAATTAGAAAGTCAGCAGTGGAGGATAGAGGAGGTTTGAACAGTGACAGCTAGGGGTTCAGAATCACTGGGATGGGGAGGATATTTTAGGGTGGGAGTTTGTTAATCATTGAGGAATGAATTTAGGTAGAAAATCATTCTTAGGGGTGTGGCCTCTGGGTGGAATCCTCTGCTGACAGTAGTGTGTAGCTAGAAAGTTGGAAAGTAAAGTGGAAAGGGAGGTGCCTACATTGTGTCATACTCAGGTGAAGCGTTCATGAAGGTGGAGTTGCAGGAGGGAGTGTGATATAATGATTGGTTTAGGAAGGCAAGGAATCTAAAAAGCTCTCCTCCTTTCCCTGCCAAGCTTTTCCCTCTATCTGAATTTTACCTTGTTTTTCTATGGACAGATAAGCCTGTCCTTGCCCTCCATGCAAAGTACATATAAGATAGCTAAGTGGCTGTCTTATATGGATAGACCACTGGATGTGGAGTCAGAAAGACCTGAGTTTTTATTCCACTTCAGACACTAACTAGCTATGTAATCCTGGGCAACTCACTTTTGTCTGCCTTAGTTTCCTCAACTCTAAAATGGGGATAATAATAATACTTACCTCCCAGACTTGTTGTGAGGATCAAATAAGACAATATTTGTGTAAAGCATTCAGCACAGTACCTGGCACATAGTAGGCACTTAATAAATGCTTGTTTCCTTCCTTCCTGTTTCATTGATTATTAAAAATAACTAATATGAAGGCAATTTAAAGATTAACTTAATATTATCTGTCTTTAGTGTAGTGCCTTATTCCCCTTTGGTACCTAAAAAATACTAATTTGGATGATTTTCATGTGAAAATCTTAATGATAATATCATTGTTGAGAAATCTCTAGTATTCCTTCATTCAACATTAATGATCACTGGGAAGTGCAGGTTGACAAAAAAGTTCATTGACATAATTCTGGTGGTCAGAGAGCTTAGAAGCATGCGGGGAAAATGGAGATATATACAACCATAATGCAAAGTATAACATGAAAGTACAGTAGGACAAATATAAAGGACAGGACAAACTAATTCTGACTTGAATGTATCATGAAAAGCTATGTAAAACTGCCAAATTTACCAAAGTGTCATTTGCTTTTTTATATTAAATGATAGTACTACTACCCAAACAAATATAAAACACCTTTAGGTTTCTCATTCTATTTGAAGAGAATAAGTTACTAAATAATGAAATCTTTGGAGACACCGAGGAAGTAGGATGCTTTTGACCTTTTTTAGAGATTTGAAACTATTTCACTATCTAAAGGGCAAATGGACTGTATTTGTTGATAAAAAATGCTGTGTTTCTTTGACAAATCATTTAGGAAGTATCACACAAATAATTTACCCATCTTTTAAAAAAAAATCTGAGTGAAATGCCCTTCACAAGGCCAAACAAGTTGTTATTAATGGTAACATTTTATGGTTTTATTTTCCTTTGTGAATGAAGATCATTCATGTTCTTTCAGGCTTAAAGTTTGATTCAAAATATATGAACTTTCGAGTTCGAGCTTGCAACAAGGCGGTAGCAGGAGAGTATTCTGATCCAATAACATTGGAAACCAAAGGTAAAATGAATAGCTACCTAAGAAACGAAATTTCTATGGCTCTCTATAATCATTTAAGGTTTTGTGCCAGGAGGTTAAAATTGAATTGGGAAATATATCTAGCTTGGCTCCATTTTATCTTCCTATAAGCTCTTAGCAATAGAGTTTGCCATGTGCTGGACAAGTGGCTTCCTTTTTCTTGATCCTTCATGTGTGAAAGAGGCAGAAATGACATTGAGTAATCCTCAGTGGGCACTTTAGTCTCATTTCACACTGAATTATAAAAGGGCTGTTATATAAGTTGGTTTGAGGGCCATAATACTCTTCCATATAGTTTCCTTCTAGATTACAGAATGATTTTTCAGTTTCCAAGCATTTTATGCAGTGACTGTGTAGTGTCTTCTAGTTTTATAATTGTCGTTTTAAGTTTTGTTTTATTTTTTACCTTGGGATCTTTTGTCCTGTGTTTTTTCTTTCCTATTTCCTTTTATTCACCTTATATAATTTAGTGACCAAAAGAGAACCAGATTCAGCAACTTTAGCTATATTTTGTTTCCTGTACCTGAGGCTATTTATATTGTCTTCCCCAAATCATTTAGGATTAAGTCAGTCTATGGCTTATGGGGCTTCTTTGGGTTGAGGCCATTTTTGTTGGTGTTGACCCTGGATTAGTCATAAAAAAATCTCCCTTAAGTGCTAAGGATTTTGGAGAGATTTTGTTCTGTTCCCACTTGAGATTTCATTCACTAATGTATCAGCTTTGCTGACCCTGCCTAAAACTATACCCTTACCACCATTGAACAGAACCAATCTCATCTCCTACAGATTTTAGTACCACAGATATACTGGGGTCAGTCCACACCAGTCCACACCAGTAGAATTACTAGTGATGGAAGTAGGCAAGTAGAACCTGAACTAGACCAAATACCCACCCATTTGTAAACATCCTCTGTATATGTGGTTTGCTGCAGGACTTTTTAAATGATTCTCAACATAAATATTTAGTGGAGATGATACAGAACTAAGATAAAAGGGAGATAGACACAGTTGGGGCCACAAGGAGTCCCATGTTCCCACGTTACTGTCATCCTTGGTTAGGCAAACACTAGATTTAGTGTATTAGATTTGACCCAGGGAAAGAAATAAGGGATGAGGGGGGATAATTTAGTTCTGTGAATAGTGATAGATATGGAGGTAGAAGACTTTGGATCTATTCTGTTTTTCCATTTATTAACTACTTGTTGGACCTTGAACAAGTCTATTTCTCTGATTCTTGTTCAATCTATAAAATTAGGGAGTTAGACTAGATAACTTCTAAAGGCTCTTCTAGCTTTCATTCTATGATCTTGTGACCATACAGTAAGGGAATTGTCAGTGTTTATATTCTTACCTTCCATCTGTACCTTTAGTTTTTTTAAGGCCTGTGATTTCCAACTTTGTCTTTGTTGTAATCTTCTTAATTGGATACTAGCAAAAACTTTGCAGTTCATCCTAATGCCTAAAGGGAAATAAAAGTAGTACCTAGTTTTTAAAACGCTGCTTGAATTAACATATAAACACAATTATCACAATTGTTCCAGCTCCTTGTGGTAATAATAGCAGCGTGGAAGTAATGCCCATCCTTTCAGATCTGGTGATCTGCTAGTGTATTTCTTTGAGTTGTTTTTGGTAGGAATTACTACTTCAGGAACTTGTCACAATGAAGGTAGGGCTGATTCTAAAACTGTTTCCTGTATAACAAAATATTCTTTTTTTTCCTTTGCTTTGTCCTGTGTTTGGCCAGAAGGGTAGTCATCACATCTTTTTCTGAGGTTCCTTCTCATAAATGATTCTAATGTGTATCTTTACCTAAGCTGGGGAACTAGTTTCTAGGGCAATATACAGGGTAAGAACTAAGACTTTGGGGGCATCGGGTACTGAGACTGGAAAGGAATTGTTGGGACTTAAATGGTTTTTTAATGATGGGGTAATAGTTGCACCAAAGGCATTGTGTCGTGTAGTGGATAGAAACCTAACTTTGAAATCGTGAAGACCTGTATTCAACTCCTGTCTCTGATACATACTGGCTGTATGACCCTGGGCAAATCACTTAATTTTACAGGTGTCCTAGGCAGTTCTCTAGAACTATAAGTTGGGGAGCAGGCGGTGATTTGCATTTGTAGAGCAGAGTTCCTCATTGGTTCCTTAAATGAAATCACAGGTCTTGTCCAAAACACAGTTGGTACCATAGTGGTATATAGTAGAAAGTACTAGACTGGGAATGGACACCAGTTTTCTTGTCCCATTCATGACCATAGGTAGCTAGTAACTTTATCATTATTATTATTATTATTATTATTATTATTGTTAATAATATTTTTATGTTTGATTTGTCAGTTTTTTGGCATATAGTTGAACAAAATAGTTTCTGTCAGTATTCTTTACTCTTCTTTGTTATGATTTCTTTTTCATTTTTGACACTGATAATTTGGTTTTTCTCTTAAAAAATCAAATAAGCTAATAGTTTATTTTATTGTTTCCCTCCCAAAAAACTCCAGCTCCTTGTTTTATTTTTTTAGTTCAGTGGTTTTAAAATTCTATTTATTTATTTTTAATATTACTGATAATCTCTTTTTTTGATTTCCAAGCTTTCTCATGGTACTTAATTGGGATTTAAAATTTGTTGGTTTTCTGGTTTTTTTTAAAAGTTGTATGCCCAATTTGTTAATCTGTTCTTTTTTTCTTTTGTTGATAAAAGTGATTAGATATATCTATTTTTCCCCTAAAAACTGCTATGCTTGCATCCCACAATATTTGGTATGTTGCCTCATTGTTGTCACTTTCTGTACTGAAATTATTTATAGTTTCTGTGGTTTGTTCTTTGACCTACCAGTTGTTTCAGATTTAGTTAGTTTTCAGTTGATTTTTAATGCTTTATTCAGTAGCCCTTTGTTGAATATAAATTTTTATTATATTGTGGTCAAATTATTTAATTAAAGGATGTTTTTAATATTTTTCTGATTTTCTGAATTTATTTGTAAGGTTTTTATGCCTTAATACATGGTCAGTTTTTCTAAAGGTACCATATATAGCTGAGAAATACATATTTTCTTTTCTATTTACATTCAATAATTGACAGATATTTGTCATAGCAAACATTTCTAAAATTCTGTTTAGGTCCTTCTTTCATGTGTGTGTGTTGTTATAGCAACATTATGTTGCTAGATTTTTCTAGGTCTTTTGTACATTGAGGTTTTCTACCATTAGTTTAACTATGTATTTCTCCCCGTAATTCTTTTATCTTTTCCTTTTAAGTATTTAGATTTTGTGCCATTTGATGCACATACACTCAATTTTAAAATTAATTCATTGTCTATGGTGCCTTTCAGCAAAATTTAGTTGCCTTATATTTATCTCTTTTAAAGTCTATTTTTTCTTTTGTTGTGTCTGAAATCATCATTGCTACCCTTGCTGAAGTATCAGCTGAAGTATCATAGATGTTGCCACAGTTCCTTATTTTAACTCTATATGAATCTTTGTTTTAACTGTGTTTCTTATAAACAACATAGTCTTTTATTATGCTTTCTAATCCATTCTGCTATCCTCTTCCATTTTATGGGTCAGTTCAACCCATTCACATTCAGAGTTATGATGGTAATTGTATTGTATTTCCATCCATTATGATGTTAATTGTATTTCCATCCATCCTATTCTTTTATACTTTTCCCTCTTTTTTGCTTATACCTTCTTTACCAAGAAGAGAGATAGTCTTAGAATAGGATTTTTTAAAAAATAACTAGCATTTATGTAGTGTTGACTGTGCTAGGCTCTATGCTGAGTGCCTTACAGTTATCATCTCATTTGATTCTCTGGTAGATGCTATTATTATCTCTCCTTTTACAAGTTGAGGAAACTGAGGCAGAGAGCAGTTAAGTGACTTGCTGAGGGTCACACAGCTAGTAAGTGTTTGGTCAGATTTGAACTCAGGTCTTACTTACTCCAGGCCCAATGCCCTATCCACTGCACCACCCAGCTGCCCCAAAAATGTTTATAGCTCTTTCTAAAAGTATTTCTTCAACATGTGACTAGAAACTGCTTTAAGTGTTCTAGTCCACAGTATAACTTTATCTGGGGTCATTCGCATTCCTTAACATGAGATATTACAACCAGTACAAGGGGATAATTTTTATAACTGCTTAGTAGATAAGGCTGTGCAAGGATTTCTAATTTTACCATAAGGTTGTAGGATTTAGAGATGGAATTGAACTTTGTAGTCACTCAGTATCACTCTTTTCCCACCCTACTTTTATAATTAAAATTGAAAGAAACCTTTAAAATCTTAGCTAGATCTGCGGTTATTGTCCTAAGATAGGCTTTAAGGAGCACTTGCCCACAGGTTGCAGTTCTGAAATCCATGATCTTCGGACTTCTCCTGTATGTTGTTGTTGTTCAGTTGTTTTTTTCAGGCATGTCAGAATCTTTGTGACCCTATTTGGGGTTTTCTTGGGAGAGATACTGGAGTGGTTTGCCATTTCCTTTTCCAGCTCATTTTACAGATGAGGAAACTGAGGCAAACAGGGTTAAGTGACTTGCCCAGGGTCACACAACTAGTAAATATCTGAGGCCAGATTTGAAATCAGGAAGATGAGTCTTCCTCACTCCAAACCTGGCACTTTACTATGCCGCCTAGCAGCCCCTGTATTTGTATCACTTAGAGCTTAAGTAACAGAGTCTGACATAAATTAAGTGCTTAATACCTATCCCTCTATAAAATGAGGGAGTGGAGACTAGATTATTTCTGATGTCTCTCCTTTGATTCTGTGTTCTTAAGTATGTTGGACAGAGTATAGTTTACCAGGTTTCATATCCTTGTCTTAGGGCCACTCCTTTTACCACTCTCCCCAATCAAATCTACATATACTTGCTCTGCCCCGTAAGAGTTGGCAGGAGATGTGCCTTGCAAAGTATTATCCTGGGAACCCTCAAAATGTCTGTTGTCTCCCCAAGAAGATTATCCTTGATAGTTTATATTTTTATTATACTTAAATCTCTTTACAAAAGTTTCTTCTCACAGTGACTTTATTAGACAAGCAGTATAAGCCCCATTAGCCTCAGTTTCTGGATCTTTTTTTTGTCATAGTAAGACCAATAGTGAATTTTAGCACTCTAGGCATTTTTATATTGAAATCGCAAATTCATGAAAGTATAGATATGTGCTCCTTTATCTTTTAACAATTTAACATGTTGTCTTAAATAGCACTTAACTTCAATTTGGATAGCTCATCATCCCACCTGAACTTGAAAGTTGAAGATAACTGTGTAGAATGGGATCCAACTGGAGGAAAAAGTCAAGAAAATAAAGTGAAAGGAAAAGAGAATAAAGGCAGGTAAGGAGCATCTATTTTTAATTTTATTTTTGAAATTGAGATTGCATTGCTGTGTCTCAATTTTACTTTAATATTTAATGAACTAGGTTTGCTTTTCATATGTGTAAATTAAATATGCACTTAGTTATTTTTTGCATTAATTTGTAGTGATATTAACTCTTTATACTAGTGGAGTTAATCAACAACACTGCATGTCCACTGTGTGACAAGTACTGTACTAGCTAAGTATTATATTATTTTGCTAGGTATTTGAGTTTTTTGGTTCATAGATCTTTATCACTCTTCATAACTTCCCTTTCTTCTGCTTATCTTTGCTGTTTATTTCCTTTTTAAATTTTTCAGTGTTCTTTTTTTTTTTTTTAATTGTTTTACAGTAGCTCAGACTGTTTAGAAGAAAGTTACTTGTATCATTCCCCCATTTTTGGACTTTGCAGTTGAGATATTTACCTGAAAACTCTGCAGTGAATAAGACACTGTAACACATAACTAGGCCAATTCTTATTCCTGGGCCAACTGTAGACACAGACTGTGTTTATAACCTTTAGGCTGCATATCATTGTATTGTCACAAGCTGCCTGGATGATTTACAGATAGAGGTTTCTTACCCTTTGTTATGAAAATAAATGTTATTTGAACTGAAACAACCTTCTATAAATGCAGATTTTAGTTTTATCAGTAGAACAGTGAAAGTACTTCTCTGGAAAGTGGTCATTAATTTTATTTCTTTGTAAATTGTCAACTTTTTAAAAAAGTAGTAATATCAGTCTCTTAATAATTGCTTATTTCTATCTGACAGTGTCCATGTTACTACACTGAAGAACAATAAAAGGTGATGACCTATATCTTTATGGTTCTAGGATTTAGTGTGTCTAGCTTGGCTGAAAAATTTGCAGTAATTTTCTTTTTAACATTTAGCACTGTCTAAATTAATAAGCAGAAGCCAATCCTAGCAGCCTTTATCAGCCAAAATATTGATATAATGGAGATTGTTTTATAACTGCAACTTTCAGTTTTGTAGTACAAACTATGTAACTAATTAACTTTAAAATCTCATAGTAGTTTCTTTTTCCTAAACCTGATTTCTTGCATTCATTCATGCCTGGGTTTTTATCATTGTTACTTTTGGAATGTCTCCTGACTCATCATAGTCCATGTATATAACATTATAGCTTTTAGTTGTATGTTCAACTTTTGAAAGATTAAAAAATTAAAATTTGAAAGATGAAAAAAATTTTTAAAAGTTTTATGTGGATAATATTGGCTCAATATCAAATTTTCAGAATAATTTTTTTCTAAATTAAAAGGACAATGCCCTAGCTATCTAAAGAATAATAAAAAATAATTTCAGATCTAAAAAAGAATGATTTGCAAGGAAATTAAAAATATGTAACAAATCTCTGTGGTAAAACAGAGTGATATGTTTTTAAGTTATCTTACGAGTTGGTTAATTTGTTTATTTTTGATAGAAGGTATTTTTCATTTTACTGTTTCATTATTACAAATTGTTATAGACTGTTAAAGGCTGTTGGATTTCCTGGAAGATATCTAGTCTGAATCGATCACATAAATTTTTGGATAGCCAGATTTTAGCATTTCAGGCTATATTATTTGCTCTTTTCTTTTAAAAAAAAGTATTTTTGAAATGCAGATGGTTTTCCAAAATCTTCCTCTTCTGTTTTGTCTGTCAAATGTTGCCTAACATAAATGCCTTTTGTTTGAAGTTAGCTGAAATTTCCTTAAGGAAGAAAATAAATCTGCTTTTTTTTTTGTGTCAGAAAGCAGAAACTGGAGAGCTTCCAGCATAGGTACACTATGAGCAGAAGGATGAAATGCTGATATGGGAATGTTCACTTTCCTTTATTTTCACTGAGATTAAGCCCTAATTCTGAGTTACATTTATTTTTCATGCTTTCCCTAATTTTGTTTTCTGCTGGTAAGTATACTGTTTTCTTCTGATTATCAAATGCCATAGGCTTATTTTTTACCTAATGCTAAATGAAAATTTCAATTAATTTGTATGATGTTCTCTTATTGTTACATACTCTTAGTCCCTGAAGCTGAAGGATTCATAGAATTGTCGTTTTCAGTCTTGTGACTGTAAATGGAGGTTGTGATATCTGATTTATTAATATCTAACCTGTAGATATCTTGTATGTATAAACTACTGGATAGTATGTCACCTTAATTTACCCTCCCCTTTCCTCAGCTGTTTTCCTTAGGCAATTCCACCCAGTCTACTTCTCTGTCCTCCCCAGATTGATAGTAACAAACTATTTAGGCTAGTGTCACATAGTGGCCTTAAGGGGTTCTTTCCTCATCACTTATCCTTCCTCCCTTAGATATTATGTACGTACCCCTTTCTTCTGTCTTTTATTACTCACAGCTTAGTTAATTCTACCTTAGCCAGCCTTTCTCATGGTACATACACATTTTTGAAATTCTTTTCCAATTCTTTATCACTTACCTCAGTCAGCCCATTGGTACAGATTTATTAAGCACCTACTAGTACCAGGGATACAAAGAAAAGTGAAAGACAGTTCCTACCCTCATGGAGCTCACAGTCTAATGGGGGAGAGAGTGTGCAAACAACTGTTTACAAACAAACTATACAGGTTAAATTGGAAATAATCAACAGAGGGAAGGCATTAGAATTAACAGGAATCAAGTAAGGCATCCTTTAGATGGTGAGATTTGTAGCTGGGACTTGAAGAAAGTCAGGGAAACCAGGAGGCAGAGATGAAGAAAGAGAAATTTCCAGGGATGAGAGACAGCTAATGAAAATGCCAGGAGTTGGAAGAGGGAGTGTGTTGTTCAAAAAACAGCAGTGTTTGGTGGCCAGTGTCACCGGACTGGGGCTTTTGTATCTAGCAAATTTTGTAGCAAATAGCATTCCTCAAAACAAATGAGTAAACTAGTATATATATATTACCAGCTCCATTTTCTCTCTGAGGAAACAGGCTTAGAAAGATTAAGCAAATTGTCCAAGCCAGGAATATCAAAGCTAAGACTTTGAGGATTTTTCACTGCAAGTCTAGTACTATTTTTTTTATTTAATTGTTTCTGCCTTGTCTGTCAGTAATATAATTATAATCTGTATTGTTTTCTATTATATTTCACTATAACAGTATAGCATTTCACCTTTATTGTAGATTGAATAGTCTTTGTATGTTGTGTCCTGGAAGCCTATCAGCCATTTATAATAGTATTTTTTAGGAAAATGTATTCAAAGTTCTGACAAGCAAAGTGTAGCCAAACTTCTGAATTATTGTTTATTTGTAAGTGGGGCTGGTTGGGAGAAGTTAAAGAGAGAGGGGACTGTTGGGTTCTAGGAAAAGGGGATAGGTTAGAGGGAGAAGTAGTGTGAGGAGTGTAGGAATTTTGTTCACTTAACTTTTGTAGATGACAGAAAACTAGAAAAGATATCAAAAACAGACTTCAAAAAGATCTAGATAGACTAGAATACTGGACTAGATTGTATGAGATTAAATTTAATGCCTGTAAATGTAAATTTTTAACCTTGTGAGGTTGATTTCTTAAATCTAAGTACATGAAAGGAGAGGGATGGCTAGATGACAATTTGTCTGAAAGACATTGGAGATCTTAATGGTTTCCAGTATATGTTGGTGGAATAGTGAATTGATCCAACCATTCTGGAGAGCAATTTGGAACTAGGCCTAAAGGGCTACAAATCTGCATACCCTTTGATCCAGCAATACCACTTCTAGGTCTATATTCCAAAGAGATTAAAAAAAAAGGGAGAAAGACCTACTTGTACAAAAATATTTATAGTAGCTCTTTTTGTGGTGGCTAAAAATTGGAAATTGAGGGGATGCCCATCAATTGGGGAATGCTGAACAAGCTGTGATATATGATTGTGATGGAATATTATTGTGCTATAAGAAGTGACAAGCAGGATGATTTCTGAAAAACCTGAAAACACTTACATGAACTGATACAAAGTGAAGTGAGCTGAACCAGGAGAATGTTTTACGTAGTAAAAGCAGTATTGTACAGTGAAGAACAATTAATGACTTAGATATTGTCAGCAATACAGTGATCCAAGACAATCCCAAAGGACTCATGATGAAACATGCTATCTGCCTCCAGAGAACAAACTGATATTATCTGAATACAGACTGAAGCATACTGTTTTTCACTTTTCTCATTCCTTCCTTCCTTTTTCAAGTCTTCTTGTACAAAATGACTAATATGGAAATGTTTTACATGATTGAACATGTATAACCTATATCAGATCGCTTACCATCTCAGGGAGAGAAGGAGGGATAGAATTTGGAACTCAAAACTTAAAAAATGTTAAAAATGGTTTTAACATATAATTGGAGAAAAAATAAAATATTATTTTAAAATATATGTCAGCTGTGTAATATAATAGCCAAGAAGATGAATACCATCTTAGGCTGCCTTAGGAAGGGCTTAGTGTCCATGAATAAAGAGATGATAGTCCCTCTGGGTTCTGTCTTGGTCAGAGCTCACTTGGATCATTGTATTGTATTCACTTTGGGGTGCCTCATTTTAGGGTGGACATTGATATTCTGGGGAGACTATTTGGAGTAGAGTAGGACCTGAAAGCATGCTGCATCAGGATCATTTAGAGGAACTGAGGATATTTAGCCTAGGGAAGTATTCTCAGGGGTATAAATAAACCGAAGAGATACTGTTTATTTGCTTGGCTCCAAAAGGGAAAACTAGGTGCAATAGGTGGAAATTGTAAAAAATCATAATTTAAACTTGTTGTAAGGAAAAACTTCCTAACAGTCAGAAGTATCCAGAAGTACAGTGGACTGCTTTGACAGATGGTAGATTCCTCCAAGGTCTTCAAGAACAGGTCACATCACTTCTTGTCAGGTACATTATACAGGGTATTTTCAGGGGAGATATGGGTTTGACTACATGTCCTCTGAGTTCCCTTCTAACTCTCCTGAATTCTCTCACTCCTCCTTCCTGTGCCTTCATATTTTTTCTTTAAAGAGCTAGAGATTTTTCTTGGCTTAAAACTGAGAATTTTTCTTCATTGACCACCTCCTTTTCTTTCTTCTTAAGAGTAGGGTTTGGCCCACCTACTTTTCCTTTCTACTACCATTATCTATTGTTTTTGATATTGTGCCTTTCCCCCCACTGTCTTAACATAGAACACAACTAAAGTTTGAATTCCCAGCTTTTCCCATAACCTTTCTTTGAAGCAAATACCTTAACCATTTTGAAGCTTTCAGTTTAATTCAGCAAACATTCATGAAGGGATCATCATAAACAAAAGAATGGAGGTGAGAAAATGTGTTCATGAACAGAAAATAGGCTAGTTCGGCTGAATTTTAGAGTGCACTTATTCTGACCCTCATACTGAGGTTGACCTATTTCTCAACTCAAACTGAGCAGGGAATATGAACTTTTTTCCCTAGAGGATCACTTTAAATATTTTCAGCATTGTCAGGCCACTTCTTTTGGAAGTTCCTCCTTGAGTAACTAGGCTCAGAGCCTTGAAGTATATGAGGAAGTCAGTTGTCTAGAATGCAGTAGAGGAGATAGAAGGAGATGGCTTACCTAGGAAGAAGCCTTTAATACCCTATTTCTCATCCATTCGAGAAACATTAAAGGAGCTCTACTGTTTACAAAATACTGAGCTAAGTAGCTGAGGGAGACAATATGCTAAATAAGACTGGTTCCTGACCTTAAACAAATTCATGGTCTGGTACATTATTTCCTTACTTTTATATAAGGCTTTATACATTATATATACATTCATTTTAATTATACATGTATATATATATATGTGTGCGTATGTGTGTATATGTATGTATGTGTGTATATATA